CAAACACTGCTTATGCGCTATTTAAGCAAGAGCTGACGTCTAGCTAACAATATTAAATAGCAAGAGTTGTTTATTTTTCTGTTTTACTGTTAAGACAAGCGAACTAAAAGGGTGAATGGGAAGAAGACAGCGTGGTTCTTGACCTTATACAGCCCTAGAAAAACTTATAAACAGGAGACAGACCCAAAAAGATGTACACCGGCCGATTTAACAACTAATATTCACGAAGTGAAGGCAGCAAACGATGCATCCCACCTCAACAGTATTTGAAGGCAAGCACCGTGTTAGTAACCGTAATAAATGAAGAATAGCAGCTCACCCTATCCTTTTGAGCAATAAGACGATCAAGCCATTCATTGTCAATTTCGTTGTAAATATAGGCATCGGACTCGAGTATTTTTATCAGATACTCCACCGTTGTGCGGAAATCGCCGCGGATTAGAAGTTCGCGAAGGGCCAGCACCATGTTTCTAAAAATGCAAAAGTTGCAAGTTACAAAGCAAATTTGAAGACAAGCCATGACTGAGCTTTGCGAAATCCATCGAACGGAAAGCAACTTTGTAGTGAGAATGCTTACTCGCGAGCCTGTTCGCGGGAGGCTTCCGCTGAAAAACAGTGTCCGAATTGTGAATCAGCAAATTCGTGAATACCACCCACTGTGCCAACACTAAAGTAGCCCCACACCGAGCGACTACTCTTGAAGTTCAACTCAAAGACATCTCCGGAGCGCGGTTTGAAGCCCTCATCAGGATCCTCACTGGTCACTCGGACGGCAATTACATGAGAGGATGGAGGTTTGCGTAGGCTGAGGTTTTCGCTTAAGCTAATTGAGTAGTTTTCAGATTGTCCAAGGCCGAATAGGTTGCGAATGTCCTTTATTCGCACCAGGGGGATCCCCATAGCAATCTGCAACGGCATAATATGTACACTTTAAAATACGCTGTACTTAATATGTTTCAGTAGGTTTACAATTTCACACCGAGAAAACTTACCTGTAGTTGACAAGCCGGTAAATTGACCCCAGAAATGACCTCCGTGCAGGGATGTTCCACTTGAAGACGGGGATTCAATTCCAAAAAGAAGAATTCTTGAGTTTCAGTGTTATACAGGTACTCCACTGTGCCAGCGCTTGTATATCCGACTAGTTTGGCCAATCTAATAGCCGCCTAAAATTGATAAATTGAGAAGGCGTAAACTTGTGGCGAAGTATGCACAACTGGACACACAGGTAGGGTTTTGGGGAGAAGACACTTACACGTTCCATAGCATCAAATACTTTCTGTGGAGCCACAACGACGGGAGCCTCCTCGAGGATCTTCTGGTGCCTGCGTTGGACTGAGCAATCACGTCCAAACAGACTGATTGCCTCGCCATACTGATCAGCCAGGAGTTGGACTTCCAGGTGCCGAACATGCTCAACGCACTTCATCACAAAAATGGGTGACTCTGGAACCTCACTTTGGACCTGCAAGACAAAAAGGGTAGACGGATGTATCAGAAAAAATGTTTAAACAGCCGAAATGACCTCTGTGGTCATATGAAACTAGCAGGAGCGTGCTATGTTTAGCGACCAAATTGACATTTCGCCGTTTGCAGCTTTGACAACATTTGGGGAAGGGGGTAAAGGAGGCAATAATTTCCACTGATAAGCTTTAGCCAGCCAAGTTAAACCATATTCTCGCCTAGATCG